TGAAAATGTGGTGTTTCCTGAGCCTGACTCTCAATAACCAGGCTCCTTGACAGCTGTCAACCCAGGTGACTGGGTCTACCTTAACACTTGGAAAGCCAACAGCCAACCAACTGAGCCCAAAATGGAAAGGGTCCTTTAGAGTCATTCCAAGCACCCCTCAGCAGTCAAACTAGCTAGACACCCCAGCTGGGTCCACCTGCCTCAAACAAAATTGGCTTCTCAGGTTCCTTCACAGGCACCCCTGGGGTGCAGGAACAGTATTCCTGTAAATCTGTTCATGTCCTACAGTACCTCTTCAAAAGACAACCAAAGAGAACTGCTGACCACAATTCAAGCAACAGCCATCCAGAAAATGAGTGAGGGGCAATCCAGGCCTTAAATTGGACTGCCACACCATTTCTTTTATCTTCCTTTAATGTCCACCCCCACCCCTCCTGTTAATAGGTCCCTTGAAAAGTTCTACCATGAGTTTCCTCCCAATAGTTCAAGTACTTCTTATCCATATCTCCCCATGGGGGCAAGAGATCCTACACTCAGGATCTGGCTAAAATAGTACAAAAGTATCTTAGTGAGACCAACTGTTGGATACACATAAACTCCCAAGTAACAGGAGTGGTTACCCCTGCTCCTGCCCAGTGGTAGGTAATCACTCCAGTAGAACTTCACCTCAAAGTCTACTCACAGACACCCCAATGAGCACATAAATGAGTGGTCTCAAGTTCCTTTTTCCCACCGCCCTTGACACAGACCCTACTCTGGCTCAAGCACTGCTATTCACTGGAGTTCACACTAGTTCCTAACACCACTTATCCCAGCCACCCCTCCCCAACAGCATGGACAGCACACCAGTGAGAAGCCCAGTAGCATCTCTCTGTGGACATTGTTCTGGATTAAATCATCCAAGAACTATGCCTATGCTCACTGGTCAGAGGCTTTCCACAACCTGGATAAACAGATCCTGAACGGGGGCCTCCCTGGTGGCGCAGGTGGTTGAGCACAGTGCTGTGAAGCTGTCTGCAGCCTCTGCAGTGCTGGTTCGATCCCCGCCGGCCTGAGAGCAGCCCACATGGCGAGCAGACCGCTCCTGTCTTGCCCGCTGCTCCCCTCAGCAGTGTATTTCAGTCAGTCTGCCTGTTCTGCTCCCCACTCTGTCTCTGGTAAATTCTCTCACCCTCCCACGCATCTGGCCTGTACCCGACTCTTGTATAAATAAAATAAATCTTAAAAAAAAAAAAGATCCTGAACTTAGATACTCCTTGGCACCAGACTATATCACACAGCCTCCCAGTTCTGTTCCGGATGCCTTCGCACCAGAAGGGTGGGCCCCCAGGAAGGTGCCAGTCTTACCTTGTCTAGCCCTCCCCCAAGAGCAAGTTCTTCTTTTACCCTGCCCACAACTCTCCCTTTACTGAATACACCAGTTCTAATGCTCCCCAAATAAATCAAAACCACACCAATCCCCTAATGGCAATGACCATGGCCATGAGCCACAATGAACTGTTTGCATTTTTTAAAACCCAGCAGCACAATTGGGGAGTGGGAGGGCAAAAAGGTTGATTCCATGTCCCTGGCAGTTGTGGAACTCTTTGCCACTCTCCCTCCTGAAAGCGGTCTATGTGTCCTTTGCAACACTTCAGCTTATCAAACTCTTCCCCTACCATGGACAGACCTCTGCTCCCTAGGGTTCACTAACCCCCAGAGGAGCATCAGGGAAGGGAGCGAGTCCATGCCCCTTCCCCTAGTCCATCCTGTGTTCTCCTCATACACATAGGGCAGCTGTCCTGGCTCCTCTCCTTGTGGCCCTATGAGTCTCGGCAGGTGTGGCCACTAGACCCACCAGTATCACCCTTAATATCGAATTTTCCAAAGATCTCACTCAGGCCCTCGACAATATAGCTGAAACCCTATAGGGTCTAACAACAGATTGAGTACCTATGGGGAATGTTTTTGCAAGATTGCAGGGTCTTGGATCTACCTACTGCTGCCCAACGGGGAACACGCCTTTATCTATATGAGGAATGTTACTATGTTAACCAGAGTAAATAGGTAATTCCAACATTAGAAAATTTCAAGAACAAGCTACCAGACTTAGAGAAAAGCCTCTCTTCTAGGCGGTGGATTGGGGAGGGTGATTGTCAATAGGGCTCTCCCATGGATACTGCCCTTCCTAGGGCCTTTAGCTACTAAATATCTTTTTTTTTTTTTAGATTTATGTATTTATTTATATAAGCACTGGGTACAGTCAGAAGCACGGGAGGGTGAGAGAATTCACCAGAGCCAGAGGGGAGAGCAAAGCAGGCAGACTGACGAAGTACACTGCTGAGGGGAGCAGCGGATGGCAGGAGAGGTCTGTGCACCATGTGGGACCCTCGCCCAGCAGCCAGGGATCAAACTGGCGCTGCGGAGGCTGCGGGCAGCTTCGCAACCCAGCACTCAACCGCTGCGCCACTGGGGAGGCCCAAGCTACTAAATTTCTTACCCTCCTGTATGGACCTTGTATACTCAATCTCATTATTACATTTTTCTCCTCTCATTTAGAGACCATTAAACTCCAACTATGCCCCCGAGAGGGACAACAACCAGCCCAAACACCTCACCCCTTGAGCTGCACCTATAAAACCAGCAGAGAAAAATCAACCATCACCCAGTTTAGGGCTATCATTAAAGAGACCATAACCCAGGCCCCTTAGGCAGGGACAACTCTATGCCCTGTTTCATCCTGAAGCAATTATAGAGGACTGCCTCAACTCCTCACGTGATTTTGAGCCAGATACAGCCAGAAGTAGGTTGATGGAAGTTTAGAATAGAAAATGTAAGGTAAAGGTTCACAAGGCCAGAACTAGAAGTGGGGGCAGAGATAATTAACAAGTCGTTAAACCAACCATGGAAGTTTCACAAGTCCAGAAACTGGAGGTGAGGGTAGAGATCATTAACCAGTCGTTAAACCAACCACATTAAACCAACCATGGAAGTTTTGCAAGTCTAGGACCTGGAGGCAGGGGTAGAGATTATTAACCAGTCCTTACAGAAAACCAACCTATTCCCAAAGTGAAGCATTCCACCAAAAACAATATATAAGGTCACCCCGGCTTTTTAAGTAACATAGTTCTTGTCCTAAAGACTGCCCATTTGTGTGTATACAAGTCAAGTTTTTCTTAATAAACTTGCTACTGAACTGAGATCTTACTACTGAACAAAAGCCCCCAGTCATTACCCAATATCTCAAAAGAATGTTCCCCATAATGGCCACTGGAGTTTGACATTATCTTTGGTTAAACTGACCCATTTAGTTAATAATGTGCATAAAAAGGGACCATCATTTTTGTACATAAAACTCACTGGTGTCTGAGGAGGGACAACTTGTGTATTTAGAAGATTGGTATCTATAATACCAATCTTTAAAAAAAGATTGGGGGGGATCTATAATCTTAACTTCAAAGTCCAGAAAAACAAACAAGTGTTTACCCAAAGGATAATGTCTTCAAAAAAAAACCCATCCCAAATGAAGTGAGAATGCAAGAGACTTACCCAACCTTAAGGAAAGAGACCATTTCTTGGAGCAAGAGAACAAAGCCAATGAGTACCATCCTTGGTTCAGGGGATCATTACTTCCTCAGGGGTTCCACTCCTTTGGATTCTGTAACAAGGTAATCCTCAGAGAAAGGGGAGGTTCCATTTTCACTGCCACACCCTAAGAAAGGGTGGGGCTGAGCAGGGAGAAGAAGCTAGAGAATATTGGGAGAAGGAAGGAAGAAGATCAAGAAGGCGATCTGGAGGAGGCACATGGAACAAAGAGACATATGAAGAAGCTGTGCTTGCTTCCTGGCCTTGGACTTGCAGCAGGGTCTTGGAGCTCATGGAAGGAGACACTTGAAAGAGAGATGTGGGTGAGAGACCCACGGAGAAGCTGACAATGGCAGCCTTTATCTTGACTTGGGTTTTGATTTTGTTCTTTTCCTTCCAGTCTTGCCTGGCCACTTCTATCCCTTTCCTATGGGTCCCCACCAGAAGATGCCTTAGACTTGTGACAAACATTTGGGCCTCCATGATCCTGCTTCAGGCCAATCCGGTTTGGCTGGGCATTTTTACCAAAGAGGGGATGGGTCATTTCGGGTATTTAATTGAAATCTATTTTATCTATTTTTTCCCTTCTCTTCATTACACACTAATTGTATTAAAGTTATTTTCTATTAAAGGTCTTAAACACTAGAGTATGTTCCGTCTCGATGCTGTGAATAGCAGAACCTATTTAGAGCAGGCAGGTTTGGGGTCCTGAGGTACACCTCACTCTGTAAAATTCCAATTCTGACTGTATGAAATGTCAAAGTTAAGATGAAACTAGGTGTTTAGTGAATCAAAGTGAGTTTACTTGTGCATAGTAAATGAACTGCAACTAAGAACAAGCAAACCACAGGCAAGTCCAAGGAGACAAAAGGAAGACTTGCTTTTACTTGGTTTTAGGTGGAAACTGGGGAGGGCTGTTTTGAACTAAAGTTTCCTGAAGAAGACCCAAAGTTCAGTGATGTGGGATTTTTTTCATTGCCAGTGGATAAGAAGGAATTCTTTCTTCTTCCTGCTGGGGTCTGTGAGTGAGACCCCGCCTTTCAAACCTTCCTGACTCTATTTTGATTTAGGTTTCCTTCTGTCATTTTCACAGGGTTAAGAGGCGTCGTCCAGGCTCTCCCCTACTTGATTACACCGCTCTGGATCACGTATGAAGTCACGGCCACCATCTTTCATTCGGGCGGCTGTCATCTTGGTAAAGGCAATGTTGTAGATTGCTTCCTTCCCCTCCTGGCTCGCCAATATCTGAAGTGCGAGCAGGGGACGAGGGTTTATAAAATATATCAGCTTCTTGTAGAGAAAAGGAAATGGCTGACGACTTTGACTTGGGCCAGGGGTCTCAGTCGGTCTTTCCTTTACCTTGATGGCTACGGCGCCTAAACGTAAGCAGCGTGCGCCTCCAGGAGCTTGGTGCGCACGCGCCACAATGTCGTCACGGACGCGCGACCTGGCCGGCGCTGGAGGAAGGAGGTAGGAGCACCCCGGCGCGGGCGGAGCCCGGGTGCGGGGGGCGGGGTGCCGGTAGACCCAGAGGGGGCGCCTTGGCTGGGATCACCCTTCTTGGAGGGATGGAGCTGGGGTTCTCGGAGACTGGGGCGCTTCCGGGGCCCAATGTTCACGGCTTGTGTTGGGGCTGTGCCCATTTCCCGGAGCTAATGACAGGTCCAGAGTGAAGGCGTCGCGTTCGAGGCCACCCAACTCCTACCCTGCCCCTGAGCGGCCTCCAGTCTTGGGCTTTACAGAGCTGGGTACTGAGGTCCCCATCTCACGCACCCGGACGATGGTCTGAGGAGGGGGGGAGCCCAATAGAATTCACTGGAGAACTTCTTAGAGGAGGCACCGTTGAGCTTCATCTTCTATCTTGCTATTACTAGTACATCCAGTAAATCACTTGGGGCTTGATTCCCTCCTAGAGGTACCACCTGCCCAGCCAGAGCCACTTTCCGTACCCCCACGTGAATCCTCTGCTTCTGTGAACCCTCCCCACCCCCAACCTCATCATCTCCATAGTGCTTTGACATGCAGATCTACCTGTTCTGCTCTAATGCCCCTCCCTTCATCCTGGAAGTAAATCTCTTTCCAACTTGCCTCCTGCCTACTCTTGGGGGCTAAGATCATCCAGTTCCATTAAGTCTTTTCTTAGATGTCTGCTTTAGAAAGCTGTTTCACACTCTTCCTTCTCCAGGTTATGTTTCCTAGTGCCCTGCAGGTCCCCTTTGCAACTGATTGGGTGTTGTTACACCCAATCACACCTGTTGTCTGTCTCCCATTCAGTCTCAGAGTCCCAGGTAGGCAGGAAGGCCCTTATTGCTGCCTCTTTCCTGGCCCTACATATGCTAGGTGCTCAGTTCATTTTCTTGAATGACAAAGTGAGTGTGTGTGTGTGTGTGTGTGAAGAAAAGTTGTCTGTATCAGCTCTGGCTGCCATAACAAAATGTCACAGAATGAGTGGCTTAAGCAACAGCGATTTGTTTGCTCATAGTTTTGGAACCTGGAAGTCCAAGATGAAGGTGCCTATTTGATTCCAGATGAGCTTCTTCTCGACTTGCGGAATGCCACCTTTCTCAGTGTTCCCACATATGGTGGGGAGAGAGAGCCCTGTCTTTTGCTCTTCTTGTAAGGGCACCAACTCTATTAGATTAGGGCCCCACCCATCTCACCTCACAACCTTTATCACCTCTTCATGGGCCCTGTTTACAAATACAGCCATACTAAGGGTTAGGTATTCTACATGAGAATTTTGGAGGGATATAAACATTTAGTCACTGTGTCCCAGCCTAAAGAAGGGGTCTAAAAAGATCTTTAAACCTTTGGGATGGGATTGGAGGTTCCTGAGCAACAGGATATGGAAAGAGGGAATGCTGGGGCAGAGTCCCTGTGGGTGGCCAGGGTTTTCACGGGAGGAGGGGGCAAAGTAGTATGTGTCAAGGGAGGCAAAGGCTGCAGAAACTGAAAAGGAAGGTGAGAATGGAGAGAATAGAAGCTGAATTTGGACACAACACAAAGTATAAAATAAATAGTGAGGGGCCCCTAGGAATAGACAATGTTCATTCATTTGCTCAAAACACTTATTGAGCTCCTACTATGCTGGGCTTAGGGGACACAACAATAACCAAAGCAGTCCTGGCCTTGCACTCACAAAACTTCCAGCCTGGTGGGGAAGGCATACATTGGTGAATTATAAAGGAACAGAAGATACCAACCCAGATAAGTGCCTCAAAGAGAAGTTTGTGCTCTGAAAGCCAGGGAGAGCTTCCTGGAAGTGACAACAGTAAGGGGGGCCATGATGTTTAAACAGGAGTTGAATAGGCAAAAAGGGTAACATAGAGCCTCCAGATGAAAGGCCCAGCAAGTGAAGGGTCCTGGGGTGGGAACCTGTTTCATATGATTGAAAAATGACAAGGATACTGGTGCAGCTGTTGAATGAGTAAGGGAGAGGCAGAGAGATGAGGGCTAGGGGTTTCCTTATTTGTACTTGAACTGTGATATCCCCAAATATACCTCTTGGCACCCTCATGGGGAGTGCAGTGCAGTGCACTTCTTGATTCAGTGCTTGAATCAATGCTTGATTTAGGGGGCCAAGAGAAGCTGGGAGAAATGTGGGATCAGGCCAGCATATCCAACCCTTGGTGGCAGTCCCCACACCCTGTGAAGGGAAGAACCAGACTGGACCCCACATCTCAGATGAGTAGGCTCAAGAGGAGCACCTTGCCACAACTGCAGAGCCAGAACTCAACTCTGAGTCTCCTGGGTCCAATGATCGCCCCCATTTTTCCTTGCTCTACCCAAAGAGGGGCCACCTCTCATTTCGAGAAGGGTCCCCATGGCATCAGAATCCTGATCTACACCAGTGTCCCTGAAGGCTCAGCAGGACACTGGACCAGAGCAACAGTTAGACAGAGAGACTGCACCTGGCTTCTCTGCTCACCCGCTCTGTGGCTCCGGGCACGTCATTTACCCTCTCGAAGCCTCAGGTTCCTCACCTATAAAATGGGGATAAAATTGCTATCCTTTTCTGCTGCCCAGGGATGAAATGTTCCTGCACTTTCCCTCCTCCCCCCTCTCCCTCCACAGCCTGCTGAGGGATGCCCAAGAAGTTCCAGGGTGAGAACACCAAGTCGGCAGCGGCCCGGGCACGGAGGGCTGAGGCCAAGGCAGCAGCTGATGCCAAGAAGCAAAAGGAGCTGGAGGATGCCTACTGGAAGGACGAGGACAAACACGTCATGAGGAAGGAGCAGCGAAAGGTAAGTGGGCCTGGATGTGCACTGGCAGGTGAGGCTGGCAGTTGGAAAGCGGTAGAAGGTGCCAGGAAGCCCCTGTGACGGAGGCACAGCAATGTCTCATTCAAAGGTGGTTGCCAGGAATTGTTTCTTACCAGAAGTGATTCTTCCCCAGAGGACACATGGAGATGTCTGGAGGCAGCTTTGGCATCTAGTGGGTGGAGCCAGGCATGCTGCCTAACACCCTATAGTGCACAGAGGGCCCCACCCCAGAGAATGAGCTGACCCCAGATGCCACCAATACTGTTGCTAAGAAGTGACAGATCCCCCTGAGCCAGACCACAGGCTCTTTTGGGCTTTTATAAAAACACAGAAGTGAGCAGGGACAACTGTCTGTTCTCTAATGGGCTCCAGTGCAAGACCAACAGTGGGGGCCTCCCTGGTGGCACAAGGGTTTAAGCATAGCACTGTGAGGCTAACCGCAGCCTCCGCAGCATGGGTTAGATACAGGGCCAGCCAGGGAGCTACCCTCATGGTGCAGCAGACTTCTCCTGTCTCGCCTGCTGCCCCCCTCAGCAGTGTATTTCAGTCAGTCTGCCTGTTCTGTTCCCCAATCTGTCTGGTGAATCCGCTCACCCCACCTCACCCCCGCCCCACACCTCTGGCCTACACCCCAGCTCTTGTATACATAAATAAATAAATCTTTAAAAAAAAAAAAAAAAAAAGACCAACAGTAGGGGCTTAATTGGTGCCAGGGCAACGGTTAGGGCTGGTGCTCATCTGCTTAATCCAGTAGGTGGTGCCAGAGACCCATGTAAGGCCAAGCTCCTGTTTCATTGATTAGTCACTGGCCCCTGGTGGAAATGGGGGAACCCCTTCCCCAGCCAGGGCAGAGAAAAGGCTTTTGTTCATTGGGAGACTGATAAAGGCAGTGAAGAATAGCAGGTGCCACTCATGCCCAGTTTGTGGACATCTGGACACTTCTTGGGGTTTTTCCCATCATTTTTCTGTGCTGGGCTTGTTTTTAGTGGCAATTAAATGTCACCAGTTACCTCCTATCACTCTGCTTCCCATGTTGCATTGAAAGCTTTAAATTTTCTTTCTTAAATATAAGACCTCACATGAATCGCCATGTCACCCTTGCACAGAGATCACGCAAATCTCTGTTTCATTCCAGTTGTATATAGTAGACATGCTACTGAAGCACTTAAGTTTTCCTTCTGATGTGGACCCATGAGCAACATGGACTTGAACTGCGGTAGTCTGCTAATAGCCAGATTTTTTTCAATACAGTTAGTCCTCCCTACCCTTAGGTTCAGCGTTCACAGATTCAAGCCAATCTGTAGGTGGGTGTTGGTTGGTTGAATCCTTGGATGTGGAACCCAAGGATAGGGGTGGCCCACAATAAGGGACTTAGAGCATCCATGGGTTTTGGTATGATAGGGTGTGTGTGTCTGTATTCTGAGATGAATACCCTGCAGACACCAAGGAAAAACTTACAGTTAAGCTTTAGCGGTGTCAAAAATTTTATGTACTTTTTGATCATGCAGGGGTTACATTGGCAGTCCTAACCCCCACGTTGTTCAAGGGTCAACTGTAGAGGAAAATTGAAAACCCAAAAGGAAAACCAGTGTCCATCAGAGATTTATTATCCAGACAAAAAGGTCAGAGGCTGTCTGACAGTCCTGGGGCAGCAGCCCAACCCTCAGGAGTCCTAGCTTGCTCTGCTCTTGGGCCATGCATCATTTCCAGCCACTAGGGAGACACTGAGGCACAGAGAAGGCAAGGAGCACAGGTTGCAGGGCTATGAGCTGGGGCTGGAACCTGGCTGGTTGTCACTGAAACCAGAAATCCTCCTTCTGTTTTGTTAGGTTTGGGTACACACAGGTAGGACTGTAGATCTAGAGCATTTGCCTGACTGTTCACCTGTGTAGCATACACCTGGAAGGATGGATAAAGCAGAGTTCAGGTGGTCTCTCTCAAAGCCTCCTGACCTTGTTGCTATAGCACCGAAGCCACCATCTGCAAGTAGCTGTAGCTGCATTCCCACAAAACTACCAAGGCAGAGGACTATAGTTTGCCAACCCTGCTCTCAGCCATTCCCAGCTCCCAACCTCTTCCAGGAAGTCCCCCTCCTGACTGTTCTGTGTGGGCAGCCTAGGTTCTTCTTCCTGTTATGTGGTGTTCTGGGGTCTGACCATCCCACTTGCTAATGGGCACATGGGCCCACATTGACAAGGCTTACCTGGACCCTCTTTCCTTGAGGGAGCTACTTTAAGATTTTTTTTCTATGAAAAAAGGAAATCCATACTTGCTCTAAAACACTAAGAAGACATGTGACACCAAAGGCTTTTCTCACCAACCTACCCCCATATACTTGGTTAAATGGGCCCCCCAGCCAGGTCTTTCTCAGCCACTGGCATCAGCTACCAGATGGAAGTTGACCTTTGTCTCCACTTGGTCTATATTCGGCAACATGGCGATGAATACCTGAGTCTAAATTCCATCTCATTTACAAAGCTCGTTGTTGATGGTTCTAGAATATTCCACCAAGTGGACCCACCCTTCCCTCATTGGTTGCCAATAGATGCAAATTGCATTTTTTTTTTTTTTTTTTTTTTTTAGAGGCATGCTTTATTTATTTGTTTGCTGGTTTGTTTGTTTTGTTTATACATGCACTGGGTACAGTCAGAAGCGCGGGAGGGTGAGAGAATTCACCAGAGCCAGAGCGGGGAGCAGAGCAGGCAGAAGGACCGAAGTACACTGCTGAGGGGAGCAGCGGGCGGCAGGAGAAGTCTGCACGCCATGTGGGACCCTCCTCCGGTGGCCGGGGAGCAGCCGGGGATCGAACCGGCGCCGCAGAGGCCGCGGGCAGCTTCGCAACCCAGCGCTCAACCGCTGCGCCACCGGGGAGGCCCGCAAATTGCATTTTTAAAAAATTGCAAGTGACTTAAAAAAAAATTTTGTTGAATGTCAAAGTATAAATGCTAACAATCCCTTCTCAGCCCCACATCCCTAGAGACTAATGCTAATGGCCACGTGCTATATGTCCTTCCTGAGTTACTGAGTTTTCCAGAACTTATTCATTCATTCATCACACTTTCACCAAGCATCTGTTGTGGGCTGGGTGCCAGAAGGCAGCCTTTCAGAACCCAGACCAGTTCCTTCCTGCCTCCTGCCTCTGAACACGAGGCGTTCCACAGTGGGCAGAGAGTTCCAGCAGGATATGCCCTGTAACCAATGGGGAAACTGGGGCTCCAAGCATAATGGCCTGCCCCAGGTGGCCCTGCTATAGCACTTAGCCCCTGCACTCAAACAACCTTGACCTTTACCTCTCTCCCCTGCCCCCATTTCCTGCCATGCAGACTGGGTGGAGGTCAGAGGCCTTAGGGTCATGGGGAGGGGTGCGGAGGGGCGGGCGGGAGGTGGATTGCAGGCACAGAGACTATCCCAGGTGTGAGGCAGTTATAGGCAGTGGGTGGGAGGTGGTGGGTTAGCCTATGACCAAACCACACTATAAATGAAGCAGAACCTCACTGTGTGCCCTGGAGAGTAGGAAGGGCAGTGGCCAAAGTCACAACCTGAAGGCCATCTGTCCCCTCCTCCAGCTAACATCAGGACTTTCTTGAGGAACCAGCATAGGATCATCTCCAGCCCCTGTGACACACAGCTGTGGACACTCAGTGTCTCCCCCAGTGTTTCCTGGCCTTAAGGGCAGAACCCCATCCTAAGCACACTGGGTCCAAGCCTTCCTATGGCTCCTGTCACCTTTGGAATCAAGCACAAACCTTCTGGTTAGCCTGGTCCTACCCCTTCCCCATCTCTTCTCCCTCCTTACTCTCCAGTCCAGATATACCAGCATCCTAGTCCCTTTCTATATCACACTAAGTGGGTCCTGCCTCAGGGCCTTTGCACCTGAGACTCTCTTGTCCTGTCCCCCAGCTCTCTTGGGACTTATTTCTCTAGCCCAGGTGTCATTTTCCCTAGGGGAGCCATCCACCCCCCTGCCCTTGCCGAGGATCCCTGTTATTCTCATGGTCAAGTAGGATGGGAGCCCTGGGGTAGCCCATTCTGTTCCCAGCTGTGTCCCCTGCACTCAGCACAGGGTCTAGCACACAGGATGGCCACAGTCCGTGTTGGTTGAGATGAAAATCCGGACTCTGTGAGAGAAATGGAGGCTCAAATCCCACACTCCCACCCCGCTTCTCCCTCCAGGAGGAGAAGGAGAAGCGGCGCTTGGAGCAACTGGAACGCAAGAAGGAGACACAGCGCCTGCTGGAGGAGGAAGACTCCAAGCTCAAGGGTGGCAAGGCCCCCCGGGTAGCAGCACCCAGCAAGGTCACCCGTGCCCAGATAGAGGAGACGCTCCGCCGAGACCATCCCCACAAGGAAGCACCGGACCCAGGTGGGATTTCGCCCTACTCTGGAGCCTCCCTTTGATCCACTAAAGGATGAATAGCAGGGCTGACCCCTGGACTGAGTCCAGGTGCCTTTCCCACCCCCAGAGAAGGTGCCAGGGTTCTGCGTGGCCCATGGCAGTTCTGCGGTGCCCTGGCAGGCCATGCTCTAAGCATAGACAGCATAGGCCACACACATGGATACTTCTCTACTCTGTACCCACCCACAGCTTGTGTGTCCTGGGGCCCCTCGGGTATTAATGGGGTGTCCCAAGGCTGAGGATACAATAGCCATAGATACAATAGAGGGCAAGGCACCTCTCTATGAGCTCATTTACAGAGAAGTTCAGATCATGGTTCAGCCTGGGCAGGGGACTGGACAATGGGAGGTCAGGAGGGACAGGTTGTACAAGGAGGTGGGAGGGGTTCCTAGCCCAAATTGAGTTTCTGTCCTCCCCCATTATTCTTTACCTGCCTGCTCCTTCACTCCCCTTGCTTATTCCCTAACTCTGCATTTCTCTCATTTCCCTGGAACTCTGCATCTCTGCTTATCCCTCACTGTCTCGCCCACCTGCTGCCCACAGCTGAAAAAGCCAAGAGTCACCTGGAGGTGCCGCTGGAAGAGAACGTGAACCGCCGTGTGCCCGAGGAGGGCAGCGTGGAGGCACGCACCATAGAGGATGCCATTGCAGTGCTCAGGTGGGGCAGGGCCTGGACTCCACCCTGGGCCTTGGGGGGGAGGCTTGAGCATAAGAGGTGGACTTGGCCTTCAGGGAAGGCACAGCAGGCACTGGGGCAGGGCTTTCCCTGGGGGCTGGATCTTTTGCCTGAGTGGGTTGCTGGGTGGGTAGAGCTATCGGTTTCCCTCTAATACCTGTGTCCACCCCTAGCATGACGGAGGAGGCTGACCGGCACCCTGAGCGCCGTATGAGGGCAGCCTTCACTGCCTTTGAAGAGGCGCAGTTGCCCCGTCTTAAACAAGAGAACCCCAACATGCGTCTGTCACAGCTGAAGCAGCTGCTCAAAAAGGAGTGGCTGCGCTCACCGGACAACCCCATGAACCAGAGGGCCGTGCCCTTCAACGCCCCCAAGTGAGCCTGGAAATGGGGTAGCCATTCCATGGGGAGTCAGGGTCATGACCCTCTACGCCTTCCCGCCAGGTCAGCTCCGACGGTTGCAGAGAAGGTGAGCCATGGCGCCTGTATCCTAGGAGCTAGGTGGCATCATTGGCTGTGCACGCCTCCTGCCAGGTGGTCCCTGCCCCCAGTAACACCCACTCCCATTTCCTGTACGTGTGGAGCCCGGGACTGAGTACCCAATAAAGTTGGACAGTGAGGCAGTGTGTGCACTTGAAGTCTATGCGAGTGGGTAGGTGGGGGACGGGGGACAAAACACACAAGGACCAAGACCTGAAAAGACAAGGGCCCTGAGAGTGTTGCCCTCACTCAACCCAAGTGCTGTGCCAGGATCATCCTACAGCACCCTCTCCTGGCTGGACCACTTGTTTCTTGAGGGGCCTATACCACTACCCCACCCACACCCCATTATTGCTGGGATCCTGCAAGGGGGTGACTCAGAAATATATAGGCCATGCAGCACTTCAGGAGAGAGCTGGAGGTGGCTTGTTGGCATACTGAGATTCTGGTTCAGAGTCAGCAGGAGTCTTAACCAGCTACCAGTTCACATCCTGTGCTTGGTGTCAGGAAAGATGGGTTGTTCTACTGTTAGTCCAATGTGGGAGGCATCTGGGCTAAGTCCTGGGCAGGTTTCTTGGGTGATTTCTTCATAGTGGGCCTTAGGAGATGAATCAGATTCCATTACAAGTGGGCACTGGATAGGCAAAGGCCTGGAGGCTGGAAGGAGCAAGTGGATTTGGGCAGGAATAAATGTTACATCAGCTGCATATCTTGGAACACTGGCCAGGACTTTAACCTGGTTTGACTTCATGGAGCTTAACTGACCTTAGTGGATCAGAGAAAGAAGGTGGCTAGGTCCACATTTGGGAATGGGGTCAAAGGATTTGCTAGTCGCTGCTATGGCTTTCACTCAAGTGATACTCCTACACCCTTAAAGCTGACCCTCCCTGAACCCCAGCCCTGCCTGCCTCTAGCTGTCAGCTTCTCCAACAGTAGGCTCATTACTCAGGGCCTCTGCCCTGTTGACTCTCCTGCCAAGAAGGCTTCTTCCAGAGCTTCAGTCTCAGAACTAGGTTCCCAGGATGTCTCCAATCCTGAGGGATCAGAGTAGGCCAAAGGGTCCTGGGCTTTTCTCTGAGATAAGGAGGTAGAGAGTTTCACAAAGGAAGGACCTGGAAGGGTGCATAGGAGTTTTCCATACAGAAAAATAAATGCTGTGCAATGGCCCTCCTGTTTCAGGAAGGGAGTGCCACTAAAATTGGGTATAGCTGAGACGTCACATGGAAGATACCTGAAATAAAGGCAGCTGGTATCAAAACTAGCCAGCAAATACTGAGCACTGTCTTACTTGGTGGTCCTCCATGAGCCAGCCCTAAGACAAGGACTGGAAGACATGTGAGTGAACCTGGAAGGATCTCTGGAAAACCTGCAGGGGTGCCAATGAGCAGAGTCCCCACCAGAAAATGGGAGACTGGGTCAGTAGGGAAAAGCAGAACTGAGTACTGGGAGCTAAGCCCGGGCCTAGTACGTGGTAGCAAGCATCATTTCAGCCCTGGTGACACTGAGATATTTATTGATCCCCTTTATAGGTTGGAAGACTAAGTCACCTGCCTGTGGCACTTAGCCAGGAAGCACCTAGAGCTGTGGGGTAGCCTCAGGGGTGGCAGCTAAGCCTCAATCAGGGTTGAAGGTGTCAGCCACAAAACGGGTGGAGGACCCCACATGGCTCTTCCCAAATGGAGGCCTGTATTTTAACAGTGCCTCTGAATCTGGCTTCTTAAACCTTAGGAAAGGTCTTTAATGAGTTATACTGAGAAACAGTGCCTGTTTCTTCCTCTACAAAGTGGAATTGAAACCAGCGCCCAACTCTAGGATGTCTGAAGAATCAAGGAGATTTGGCCTGGGAAGGACATGACAAGGGAGCCACCTGCATGGCCACGTTGGGATTTTGTAGCCAGGAGGGAGGAAAAGTCTGAGACCAAGGGGTATTAATCCGCAGGAAGAAGCCAGTCGAGCATGCAGGTACTTGCGTGCCAGGCTGAGGAACAGGGCTTCATTCCAGGGTGAAGGGGAGTCACGGTGGGTTTATGAGTCAAGTAGGAAGAGATTTAGCTACCCGCCCCTGGCAGCTCTGCCCAGGACCTCTGGGGGCGGTAGCGATGGACCAGAAGGTAAAGATGAAGCAGGAGCTGAGCGCACGGCATTCGGCCCTCGGGAATAAAGACGATGGTGGAAATGCGTGTTCCGGTTCACAGAAAAGCCCCTTGCCTCTCGGTCCCTGGCCCGCGGAATCCTGAGCCCGCGCGTGCGCGCTGGCAAGAGGGAATCCCCCGCTCCGCCGCAATGCGCTGGAGGGGGCGTGAGACCGGAGTTCCGTGCGCGCCCAGCCTTCCCGCGTGCGTTGTCTAGACAACCGGGCGGGGCCGCGGGGACGCCGGGCACGCAGTGCGCCTGCGCGGAGGGACTCTTCTTGCGCCAGGGCTTTCCCGTCGTTTGCGGTCGGAAGGGAACGCCGCGCCCAGTGCGCTTGCGCTTATGTCCCCCTTCCCACCCCCACCCCCATCCGTGGGCCAGGGAATCCTCACCAGCCGCAGTGCGCACGGGGGGCGGGGCGGGGAAACCGGCTCAAACCGGAGTGGGGTTAGCCGTGGAGGTGGAGGGGGCGGGAGCGAGAGCGGGGTCTCCCCGAGGTTCCCGCGCCAACCCGCGCCGTCGCCTTGACAACCGCGCGCGGGCCGCAGTGCGGGGGCGGCGGCGGCCTTGGGAAAGCCGGGCTGCTCTGCGCCTGCGTGGGGCTAGGCGCCTGCGGCCGGGGTTCCCCCTCTGGCTCCCCAGGGATCGGCACGGCTCGAAGCGGGAGGGGAGGGGAGGGGAGGGGAGGGGAGGGGAGGGGGGGAGGGAGGGGAGGGGAGGGGAGGGAGGGGAGGGAGGGGAGGGGAGGGGAGGGAGGGTGGGCGCCGTGGGGAGGTGGTGAGCACTGAGAGAGGGGCTCCCTCAGAGGATGGGGAGGACGGTCAAGTGGAGACTGGGTGGGACGAAGGTAATGGGTAAGGGGAAGACGGGGTGGCGGGGAAAAGGGTGCAGGAGGGTGGGGGCCCAGGAAAGCGCTCAGGGGAGGAGGACAACAAAGGAAAAGGAGAAAGACTGGAATTTAGGGAGCAGTTAAGAGATAAGAGGGTGACAAAGAGAAGGGGAGGGAAGGGGGACTATGAGAGGAGCGAACCTTCGGGGCCCCCAGCACCACACACATACACCGCAAACCAGAAAAAAAATCAGCTCTAGGATTTCCAGATTTAGAAAAGAAAAACACACACACAAATTACAGGCCGCTCAGCTAAACTTGACTTTAAGAAATACAACGAATTTTATTTTTATAACTATGTCCCATTCCGTGCCCTGCATTTCATCTGGCAGCACGGATCTTGATCACTCTCCCTACCCCATATCCTTGAGCCTTTCTGAAATCCCCAGGAACTTGTGAAAGATGCTTTTTTTCTCTCCTCTCCCTAGTTCTCCCCACATCCTCACCCTCACCCTGTCTGTTCTATCTCCCTCATCCAGTCCCTGAACACCCCAGCCTGAGGTCCAGTTCTCCCCAGGTAGTGAAAAGCGCAAAGGTGTGGCACCCACAGGCACCTTCAGGGGCAATTCTCGATATCTCAACCCCCCACAGCCTCTTGGGTCTGTCCCTGCAGAGGCAACATGACATCCCTCCTAGGGATACACGAGAGTCACCTCCACCCAGGGAACCTCCACTCGCCAGGCCCCCATCAGTCTCTGGGCACATAAGCACACACAGCAGGTGCTGAAAAAACATTTGAGCACGATTTTATGGAGGCAAGTATGGGAGGGGGGAGGGTGTTTTATTTCTCAGCACAACAGCTGCGTTTTCAATCCCATCGGAGCACATACTCTCTCTGGGCTTTTGTACCAGCCAACAAAGCAAATTTCCTTTTATCCTTCCCTTTTGCTTCAAAAAGTGTACGATAAAAAATCATGGGAAAACTAATAACAGGGGAAAGGTCAACTTCCAGCCTCCTGTGGTCTTGGGCTGACCCTAGAGTCTCCCTGCCCCCTCCCCCATCTTTGCTTTTCATATTTATTTACCATCCTGACACTTGCCTGGGCCTGGCTTCTGTTCAGCAGGCCAGGAACACGGTCCCTGTGGATCATTTTTTCTAGCACATGTATTCTGGAAATGGGTTAAGAGTCCAGGAGTGAGGAATATCAGAGCGCCTGTTTTTACTGTCACCATTCTAGGCAGTTCCTCCTGCAGAATCGTTCCTCCCTTATCCTTGGGGTGCTTTCAGGGTAGCTAGCTCTGCAAAGGGTCCTTATCTATGGAATGGGTATCTCCTGGGGTGGTAGGTCAGACTTCCCCCTCTCATCAGCCAGACCCAAGTTGGGGGGGGGGCACATTCCCCTAGGGGAGGCATAAGGTGACTTAGTTAACAGACCACACCAGAGCAGGGTAGGACAGTAAACTAGGGTGACATTCTCATAGCAGGGATGACTCTAAGCAGGATTCGACATTTGTCCAGCCTCTGAAAGACAATAGGGGATGAAGCGCTCCAGGAAAGGACATATTGGCAGGGCACATGCAGAGGCCCTGAGGCTGGAGGGATTAGGACAGACACTGGGTGTGGCAGGAGTGTGATGGGCTGGCCAGGGTGACAGTGGAAGGATTGGGGCAAAGGTGACTGGGGGCCAGACTACTCCCAGAAAGGTCAAGTTCATCCTCTTGGTTCAAGGAGGGGACTGGAGTTATACAGGGCAGGAATGTGACCAGTCACATGGATGAGAATGTAATTTGGTGGCAGCTTCACGGAAAAAGGGACAGTGGGGACCAGAGTAGGGACTGAGAAGGCAAGTGAGCAGCAGAAACTCCCAGTGATGCTCCCCCTTGTCACAGCTGCCTCCCTCCCACTATCCCACTCTGTGTCCAACAGAGAAAACCGCCTTAGCCTTCCCAGAGGCACCGGGAGTCTCCCCCATCGAGGTGCTGGGTGACCCCCTCTGTGGAGCCCCCGCGGTTTGTGCAACCCTCCCTCTCTCCCTCCACTATGCAGACCCCAAGCTTCCCCCCACTCCTTTGTTCTCCTTCCCTCCCTACACTGTCACGGTCACTGGCGACACCCTCTGAGCTTGTTTCTCACACAATGGAGGGGGGATGCGCAGGTAGTTACTCCCCACCCGGCTCCCGCGGTTGCCGCCCCACCCCCTGCCCT